TTGATAGTGAAATATATATGAAAGTCCCTGAAGGACTTAAAGTGCGAGAAACAAATGATACATGTTCGAGAACCATGTTCTCAATTAAATTGCAAAGATCATTATATGGATTGAAACAATCCGAACGCATGTGGTATAATCGCTTTAGTGAATATTTGTTGAAGGAATGCCATAAAAATGACGATATCTGCCCCGTGTTTTCATAAGAAAACAAATATTGGATTTGTAATTGTGGCAGTTTATGTTGAAGACTTAAATTTAATTGGAACTTTTGAAGAGCTTAACAAAACTGTAAATTATTCAAAAAATGAATTTGAGATGAAAGATTTGGGAAAAACCAATTTCTGTCTCAAGTTACAGATTGAACATTTCCCATAATGATTATTTGTTCATCAATCTACATATACAGAAAAGTCTTAAAACGATTTTATATGGATAATGCACATTCATTGGCATCACCTATGGTTGTTCGATCACTTGATGTAAAAAATGATCATTATTGTACACTTAAAGATGGAGAAAAGATTTTTAGTCTAGAAATACCATATCTTAGTGCAATTGGAGTATTAACTTATCTTACANAGTGCAATTGAAATATTAACTTATCTTACAAATTGTACTCGACCTAACATAGTTTTTTCTGTAAATCTTCTTACAAGATATAGCTCTATACCAACACAAAGATATTGGAATGGTGTTAAACATATTTTTCGTTACTTAAAGGGTACTATTGATTTGGGGTTATTTTATTCTCAAAAGTCGGAATCTGCTTTAATGGGATATGCAGGTTATCTATCTGACCCACATAAAGTTAAATCACAAACATGATACGTGTTTACATGTGAAGGAACAACTATATCACGGAGATCTGTGAAGCAGTCATTGACAGCAACATTCTCAAATCATTCTAAAATTATTGCAATCCATGAAGCAGGCCGAGAATGTATATGGTTGAGGAACATGACCTATCATACCCAAACATCATGCAAATTAATTTCAACAAAAGATAGTCCACCAGTTTTGTATGAAGATAATGCTGCATGTATTGCACAACTCAAAGGAGGTTATATCAAAGGTAACAGGACGAAGCATATTTCTCCAAAATTCTTTCGTACACACGAGATTCAGAAAAATGGTGATATCAATATTCAACAAATTCGTTCAAGTGATAATGTGGGTGATTTATTTACAAAAGCACTGCCAACATCTACATTCAAGAAATTGGTTCACAAGATTGGAATGCGTCGACTCAAAGATTTTCAGTGATCAATATCAGGGGAGTAGCTGTACTCTTTTTCCTTCGCTTAGGTTTATCCTACTGGATTTTCCTAACAATGTTTTAATGAGGTAGCATTTATCTTTATTACTCCAAAATAACTGTACTATTTTTCTTTTATTTTGATTTTTTTGTCCTATTAGGTTTTTATCAAATAAGGTTTTAACGAGGCACACATTTTGTAATGTGTCATTCAAGGAGGAGTGTTGTAAATAGTAAGTTATTGGTGAATGACAATCGTACCCCTGTAGCCCTAGATATTATTACCATATGTATCCCTATTTCTTCTCTATAAATATAGGGCTTTGGTTCTCATTATAATACACACAAATCTATTGATTTTTATTCTCTCTTCTCTTTTTCTCTCTTTTTACAATATATATAAATTTATTATGTACAAGTAACATTATTAAAAAAATTAATGCATAGACTTGAATATTTGCTTTAATTCACCACTCCATTATGTTAATTTCTTGTTACGAAATAATAAAAGTTTAATTCGATAGGAAACTTGTAGTAGATTGCTTCAAAAGGCTTCAATCATGAAACTCGGCCCTTGCTTGATTTCTATTTTTTGAGAATAGATTTTGTAAAACATGGTTTTTTGAAAAATATTTGTTTAAAATTATTACTAATGGGTAATAATTTTTCTTTTCAAGTCATTTGAAACCAAGGTGGAGGTTTGTTGGGTAAATTGTTGCCAAACAACTTCCTGGGCTATGACGTTAAATCATTGTTTATTCTGTCGACATCAACCAATGAGTGAAGTGAAATATCGACTCCTCAAATGCAACGACCTAAACCTACAACCTATTTGGGTCATTTGATGCAGCCTAATTTAATTAGAGCTACTTATGGCTCGACCCATTACTCTTTGGATGGTTTTGGTATTTGACATAGTTATTGGTTAGAGGAAATTACATGGAAGCCTACCTTTCAAGTTCCATGTTAAAAAATCAGGGTAAATGTTTTATTATTCAAAAATCAGGTATTTGATTAAATATTAAATATTTATTTTTTGAAAATAATTAAATATTAAATATTTATATACAAATTTCAGACTCAACCCCTAGAAATCAAATATACTCTCATCTCATCTTTCTCTCTACCCTATTTCTTCCCGTCGCCCCTGTCTCTCCTTTATTCCCGTCGCCTCTCTTCTCGACGGAGACCACAGCGACGGCGATAGAGCAACGCTGCTGCAGCTGCTGCTGCATTTGCGAATCGCGAATCGCAGTAGCGTTTCTGGCGCAGTTGTGTACTGCTGCGTATTCAGCTGCGATTCCCGAATTGCAGCTGCGTATTCGCAGCAGAGGGGGGATGGGGATGGGGAGGGGTGAAATTGCAGCTTTTTGTGTGTTGGTCTGCGGCGGTGATGATGGGCTCGGAGATGGTGGGTTTGTATGTAGTCGCCATCGATATGATGAAGAGGATCTGAAATGGTGGGTTTGGGTTCGGTTTGTGGTTGGTTCGGCGATCTGAAATTTTCGCCGGTTCGATGATCTGTTCCACGGTTCATTGTTGGTCAAATCTGCTTGCGGTGATTTTCATGTTGTTGGTAGTGATTTTGTGATTTTGTGGTGGTGGTTCATGGTTGGCAGTGTGGCAGTGATTCAGTTCAGTATATATTCCACTGAGGCACAGTTCATTGAGACGGTTTCAGTTGCTAAACTTGCTAATGTCGTTATGGGTGATGTGTTAGCGGTTCTGTATCTGATTTTTTGGCAGATCTGGCGGGTGTTGGTGGTGGAGGTGGTCGCTGTGCCGGATTTTTGGGTTTTTGTTTTTTGTTTGTGAGTTTCAGATTAGAGATGGTGTTGGTGGTGTGGCGGTAAGGTGGCGGTTGGGTGTGAACTTGGCTGTGGGTGGTGGCGGTGCTGGCTTTTTGGGGTTTTTTTTCTTTTATGTTTGTGAGTTTCAGATTAGAGACGGTGTTGGCGGTAAGGTGGCGGTTGGGTGCTGGTGGTTGTGAACTTGGCTGCGGGTGGTGGTGGTTGCTGGTCGACAGTGTTTTGTGTGACCTATCATTTGGTTGTCTGTGACTAAGGATTTGACTGTGACTAACAAATTTTCAAATTTGTGACTGGGTATTTTGGTCACGTGACTAAAAATATAATCTGTGACCTTATTCAATAATATGTGACTAATCATTTTGTTACTTGTGACATAAAAATTATATAATCCGTGACCGTGAAAAAATTTTGTGACCAATTAATTTTGAAATATGTGACCGTGTGACCTATAAATTTTGATCTGTGACCACTAATTTTTGAAATATGTGACCAACGAATTAAATGTGACCTATAAAATTTTTGAACTGTGACGATAAAATAATCTGTGACGTATAAAAATTATTATTTGTAACTAAAAATAATATGTGACTAATTAAATTATAAATCTGTGACCGGAATAGTCGTTGGAATGGTCACCGGAATAGTCGTCGGAATTGGAGCAGTCGCCGGAATGGTCGTCGGAGAAGAGTGGTGGTCGGAATGGTCATCGGAATAGTCACCGGAGCAGGGGGTGGTGCATGTGGGATGGGTTTATTATATTATATTAGATATAAAAAAAAAAAAACTTGATTTTTGAAGTTTCAAACTATAAACCTTATTTTTGAATTGGTGTAAAGAATACACCTTATTTATGAATTTTTCCCTATTGGTTACCTATTATGTGTTATTGGGCCCAACTACTATTTATCCTAAAAAGCCCACCTACTACTATATAATGGTTAGTCATGTTGCTTTGTGGTTTCAACGTTAATGCTGAGCCCCTTTCTTGAGAGATACCGACTGCGTCTTTTACTTTGTGATCTCTTTTGCAATGTGTTTTTGCCTCTCTTTTTCTTAGCCTTTGTGGCTATAGCATGGCTGTAATAACTCCTTACTTGTGTTCTTAGTGGACAAGCCAAATAGCAACCAAATTTGGTGTGGGTTTTGGTTTTGGGTTTTTGTGACTTTGTTGGTGTCGATCTCAGTGTATATGATATACTGAGCTCGGAAATCCAGGTGTTCAATCTTCTACTCAACAATAATGAATTAATTTGTGTTCTCAGGGGTAGCAGATCCACAAAACAGAGAAGCTATTGTTGTTATAGAGGGCCTCGTGAAAGCGCGTGTCAATCCTGTTATGGTTATAGAGGATAATTGGAGAATGGCTCAGGTTGTTGCTAAGGAGGTTGTTATCTTGTTCCTTACTTTATTGCAAATTTGGTTTTTACTATTACTGCATTTGGGCAGAAGCTTTAACTAGGAAGTTTAGAGAAATGTTTTAACTCCTTCACTAAGAATTGGGTATAATTTGTACATTTATCTATCATTAAGAATCCCATTTAGTAGACTTACGTCCTCTATTGCTATGCAAGTTGGCAGTAGAGAGGTTAGAGCAGAGGTGATGCCTGTCGAAAAAAAAAACATTATTCATTCATTCCAAGAAGGCAGAAATGTAGCCGCAACGGTGGGTGATGGCATCAATGATTCTCCTACACTGGCTGCCGCTGACGTTGGTATGGCAATTAGGCAAGGACAGATATTGCATTGGAAGTTGCCGACTATGTGCTAATGAGAAACAATTTAGAAGGAATCATAATCATCACAGCAATTGTTCTTTCAAGAAAGACTTTCGCAAGGGTTAGATTGAATTATGTATTCTTCATGGATTACAATGTTGTAGCTATCCCAGTTGCTACCGAAGTTTCATTTCTTTGGCTAAAAGTGAAGTTGCCACCATGGATATCCAGTGCATGCATGACCTTGTCATCTGTAAGTATTGTAAGCTCCTCTTTTCTTTTTAGGAGATATAAAATGCCTAGTGTTGGATTCGAACCTTGGATCTCTCTTATTTGATGCTCCCGACATTTTGAAGAAATAAACGTGTTTGTGAAACATGCTTCTATTATTGAAACGGTTTTGACCGATGCTTGACATGTGTTCTGTTTATGACCTTTAGATGGAAATTGCAATATTTACTTGGGCTTGATGGCTCTTGGTTTTCAGACGGTTCATTGGTTTTTCGAGAGACTTTTAGGGCTCCTGCGTATTTGAGAGAGAAAGAGAAGAAATAGGCTAGGGTTTACTGCATTGATTTGATTCACTTAAAATCTCTAATTTTAAGTGTTATGGGTGATAGACTAACCTTCGTTGTGTAATATTTTGAGTGAATGTTGTAAGGATCTATGTGATTTCTCCGTTGTGATTTTCTGGTGTTATTCGAGGGGTTATTTGGTGATTCTTAGTGAATCCTTTGTAGATCTATCGCTGTATTGTGAGAGATAAGTCTCTTGCTTCATTTTTTTGAACATTTGTAACTTTGTTGCCATTTTGGGCTGTTTTAGTGCAACTGAGCATAATCCTTTTCTTAGATTCTCAACCGAGAATGTAGGTGTTAGATGTGGTCACCGAACCTCCGAGACTAAGGTCGAAATAATTCTTTGGTGTTCTTTTAATTCTCTGCAGTTTATTTTCAGTCGATTCGATTATTCTTGTTTCTTATTTCTCATATTGTGTGTGTTCTTGGCTTTACAGTGGTATCAGAGTCTTGAACTGAGGAACAAGATATATGGAACTTTGAAGAAATAGGCAAATCTGCTTTCTGGATCCGCTCTTAAAAAAATCAAAAGGAAACGAGTTTATATAAACTCGCTTGGTGAGATCTTTTAACTTCTGTAAATTTTTTATTTATGAAGTTAGGGTTTCTTGATCATTCCCTTGATTTTTTGTACATCGTTGAAATCTCTTTGAGATTAACCTTTGTCGAGTGGCTCCTGCGAGGCTATTAGAAGCTGAGATAAATCACTTTCATCATCGACTATTTCTTAAAATGGTATTCTATTATCTTCCCTGGAGTGAGCCCATTATCAAAGCCTCCTTCCTCATCTCGTGATGAAGCGCCTCATCGAGGAATTCCTTCTCTCAGGGCATGCGCATGCCTCATCCTCTTCTGATTCATGGGATCAAGTATGGCTGGTGTGGAAATCTCCAAATTCCACCTGTGATGTTCAGCAAATCCATCTGTGACTTCAAAAATCGCCGACTTTGGTGGTGATGGTAAGATTTCAATTGATTTCCAGTCGTCGATGGTTACCTCAGTTCGATTTCGGCTGACTCTATTTACCCAGATTTCATTCGACTGAGGTGGTAATTCAAATGCATGGGCGGTTTCAGGCAAAGTAACAGACAGCCCATTCCGTACCGACTGTTCTTTATCAGGCAATAGAGCTGCCAGTACCTCAGAAATCGGCATTTCGAGCCCACGATCGTGTGTCTCTGTCCTTCCCAGTTCTTCTCTGCGGTTCCAATTATCTGCACCTATACCAATTTCATCATATTGTAGTAGAGTTTTGGAATTAATGGTTGATTCTTCAGAAACCGGAGTCTCCAGTCGCACGATTTCTCCCCTTTGCAAACGTGCCTCTGTACTCCCCCCAACCTCTAATTCCAATATCGTCCTCTGCTGTCTTTTTGTGGATGCCTTCAACATAGATCTTATAAACATCGGAGTTTCATTTAACCTGTTAATTGGAGGAGGACCTTTCTCCATTGGCATGGGTGGAAGTATGGTGACGACAATGCTTTTTGGGGCAAAAATGGGTACTGGGTTGTGATTATAATTCATGTGATGAGGGAAAATGTGAGATGTGAAATTCATATTTGGACCTAAATTAAATTAGGTTTGTTTTAAACCTTCATTGCAGTCCTTAACTCCTTGGGCCAATTTCATAACCAAGCCCACAGGATCCTTTATATGAAATTCCGCCCCCATTTCCAGCCCATTCCCTTCCATGGCGTGCTTCAGCTTTACCTCCCTCGCCCTTTCCGGCTCGGCCCTGGATTTCTTCTCCTGGTTCGACCAAATCACGGAGACAAGTCTCACCTCCGACCTTTTCTCCGCAATCAGTCCACCCAAGGATTCCCCTGCATTGTTCTTCTCTTGTACCACTGATTTTCCAGTGACTTCTTCCACATCCTACTCCGATCTCTCTGCTCATCGCATTTCTATCATGGAGTCTAGCTTCTCCATCATGTTAGTTATCGCTTCCATAATTTCTGATTTCGGATCTTCCTGTACTTCTAGCTGATGTCCCTCCATTCTCGTCTCCAACTTACGCACTGGAATTTCTTCCACCATGGAGACCTCCTTCTTGCCAAATCGAGCCCGTAACAAACACTTTAATTCATCCCAAGTTCGAATCGGTCGACGGCTTTTAATCCATAAAAACCACTCCCAAGCTTCACCGCACCAACATGCCGTAGCTACTTCCACTTTTTCCCTCTCCGACAATTGATTCCTTGGGAAAATTTTGCCACCATAGAATATTGATATGTCTAGTCTACCTACCAAATCCAATCCATAACTCTTTGCCATTGCCTTCAGATCGTTGCTCTGATACCAATTGATAAGATGCTAGCTGGTTCACAAGAACAGAACAAGTAAAACAGGAAAGAACTATAGTATTTAATTGGATAGAAATGGAATTACAAAGACACGATCAGCCATTCGAGAGGGCTGTAACTCTCCCAATTGGATAAACCAATACTCAATAATTGCATGCCTATTTTGCTCACCCTCCTATAACAATTATACTAATNCGTTCTTTTCCCTTCTATTTATAGGCAATCCTTACTACAACACATTACATTTTACCCCTCCTACTAACTAACTAGTGAACCTTCTGGAATGTGCATGATTTGACTGCAGCTATGGGATTGGGGGTCTATTAATAACTCTGTAAATTATTCTTACCTGAAAGTTTTTTGCTGTGCTGCTTATGCGCATCAAAATATTAGAAAGCTAGAGCCTAGATCCCTTAAATGTGTTTTTTTGGGTATGATGGCATCTTAAAGGGTACAGATTGTGGGTTAAATCTGAAACGGGTTACGAAGTTATAATTAGAAAGTATTTCGTTTTTAATGAATTTTTGATGCCTTGACTTGAAGGAAATAAAAATGTTTTAACTGAAAAAGATGTTCAAATTGAGGTGGAGTCCTCTAGTATTCAGCAGAATTTTTCTGAGTCTATTGTTGAGAATATTGAACATGAAAAAAATGACATTTTGCCTCAAACAGAAACTAAATAAGTGTTTGATCAATCTGATCCTACATTTCTACCCCTTGATGAGTATCAACTCACAAAGGACAGAGAGATGAGGCAGATTAGACCCTCTACCAGATTTGATAGTGAAACTTTTGTTTCTCTATTTACTTATGAAGAACTTTCTGAAAATGAACCAAGTTCTTATAGTGATGCCATAAACTATAAAGAAAGTGGAAACTGTAAGGCTGCAATGGAAGATAAAATGGCCTCTCAGATTAAAAATAAAACTTGGGAACTGGTAGAAAGCCCTAAAGGATAGAAGCTTATAGATTGTAAATGGATCTATAAAATAAATCAGGGAGAAGGTGGGGCTAATAACATAAGATACAAGGTTAAATTAGTAGCTAAAGGTTTTACCCAAAAAGAGGGTATAGATTACATTGAAGTTTTTTCTCCTGTAGTTAAATACACTACTATTAGATGCTCAATTTAAATAGAAACTTGATCAGCTTGATGTTAAAACTGTTTAAAGCAAGCCCCTAGACAATGGTACAAAAGGTTTGACACATTTGTACTAAAACTGGGCTTCAAAAGAAGTCGATATGACACATGCTTGTACTGCAAAGGTAATGGAGGTAAAAATTCTTTATATCTGATCCTTTATGTGGATGATATGCTTCTTGCTAGTTGTAATAAAGCTGAAATTGAAAACATTAAACTTAAGTTGAAAATTGAGTTTGATATGAAAGATCTTGGCTTTGCCAAGAAGATCTTAGGTATGCAAATTGTAAGGAATAAAGAGAAGGACTTGCTGTTTCTAAATCAACATGATTATGTGATTAAAATTCTGAAAAAATTCAACATGTATGACTGCAAACCTGTATCCTTACCTCTTAAAAATCATTAAAAATTATCTTTAGAGTTCTGTCCTAAAACTGAAGATGAATATGTTAGGATGTCCAGGATTCCTTATGCAAATGTAATAGGCTTTGTTATGCACTTAATGATCTGTACTAGGCCTGATCTAGCACATAGCATTAGTATATTGATCAGATTTATGAGTAATCCTGGATAAGATCATTGGAATGCCTTAAAATGGTTATTAAGGTACCTAAAGGGCACTATTGATTTAGGCTTAGTGTTTAAATCTAATAAAGATGGTGTTATGTTAAAGAGATACACTGACTCAGACTTTGCTGGTGATAGAGATAATAGGAAGTCAACTTCATCCTATTTTTATACCTTGTGTGGTACTGTCATTAGCTGGAAGTCTCAATTACAAAAGATTGTTGCATTATCATCTACTGAAGCTGAATATATATCTACCACTGATGCTATAAAAGAAGGAATATGGTTAACTGGCTTGCTTTCTGAACTTGGATTTGTTGATGCACAAACTGTTCTGTTTTCTGATAACCAAAGTGCTATTCACCTTAGTAAGAATCTCAGGTTTCATGATAGAACTAAGCACATTGATGTTAAATCCATCACTTCATTAGAGATGTTATTTCTGAGGGAATAATAAAAATTGAAAAGATTGCAACTCGGTATAATCCATCTGGTATGGGTAAAGTGATTCCCTTAAACAAGTTTTTAAACTGTCTTAAATTCCTTTCTATTGATTCTTTGTGATTCTTAATATAGGTACATAGAGTATATGAAAATGAAATGTAAAAATGCTCATGGATGCACTGACAGTCCAAAATCTAGTAGCAAGGTGGAGAATGGTGGATTCGAACCTTGGATCTCTCTTATTTGATGCTCCCAGCATTTTGAGGGAATAAACGTGTTTGTGAAACACGCTTCTATTATTGAAACGGTGACTGGTGCTTGACACGTGTTCTGTTTATGACCGTTGGATGAAAATTGCATTATTTACTTGGGCTTTTGGTTTTCAGACGGTTCATTTGGTTTTTCTAGAGACTTTTGGGGCTCCTGCGTGTTTGAGAGAGAAAGAGAAGAAATAGGCTACGGTTTACTGCCTTGTTTTGGTTCACCTAAAATCTCTGATTTTAAGTGTTGTGGGTGATAGAGTAACCTTTATTGTGTAATATTCTGAGTGAATGTTGTGAGGATCTGTGTGATTTCTCTGTTGTGGTTTCTGGTGTTGTTCGAAGGGTTATTTGGTGATTCTTGGTGAATCCTTTGTAGATCTATTGTTGTATTTTGAGAGATAAGTCTCTTACTTTATTTCTCTGAACATTTGTAACTTTGTTGCCATTTTGGCCTGCTTTAGTGCAATTGAACACAATCCTTTTCTTGTATGCTCAACGGGGAATGCAGGTGTTAGATGTGGTCACCGAACCTCCGGGGCTAAGGCCGAAATAATTCTTTGGTGTTCTTTTAATTTTCTGCAGTTTATTTTCAGTCGATTCGATTATTCTCGTTTCTTGTTTCTCATATTGTGTGTGGTCTTGGCTTTACACCTAGGCTTACAACTATTCTTGAAATCACCATAGACTAGCGTAATTAGAATGAAAGGGGAGAAAATTGAATCTGTTGTTATGTTACCAATAGAAGCCATTTGGATATTAATGATGGTTTATAATGCCCAATTTCGTGCATAACTTTTGCCTTTTCCCCATCTCATTCCTCTTCTTCCAATAGCACCTCACCCACAAGCTCTAATGTACATATTCTTTTTGTGTAATGCTATTAGCACCCTGGTGCTTAACCAATCTAGATGGCAATGAACTCCGATGACTACATGGTTTAATGTATGGGTGAGGATCACTACCACAGATTATTACTACATAGCATTATTCTTCTCGTTAATGCCTAATGGATCATTAAATAAGATCCGATGGATACGAAACTTGGCCAATTATACTCACTGGTGCTGAGTGAACGCGACAAGAACTGGAGTTACCATGTATGCCTTAACGCAACTCCCACCCCAAAACAACTTAATTTAAACACTACTATTAGAGGGAAGTACTATTTCGGGCATTGAAAATATTAATTTGTAGAACAAGTACACCACGGATTCTTGGACGGACACTGTTTATCGAGAATCGTGTGAAATAAGTAAATAACAGTAAAAGTTTGAAAATCAATGTGCAGCACATGCTAGAAGTTGGGGAGCCAAGTCAGCCGTTGCGTTTCAACGAATTTCGGGGAGAATACGTTCAAGTGGCATTTCATCAGTAACCATAACTCTTTGACGGATACTTCAACATAAGTTGGTTCCCTTCACTTAGTTTCATCCTAGTCATGAATAGATCACCGAATTTTAGGTCTATGAGCAATGACAAATGGAATGAGATTAGAGCGTGAAAGAAAAATGGTCAGAAACAGACCGGATGGTTATAGTCTATGCTAATGAAAGTTGTGATTTCTTCCACTTTGTATAAACTCATTCTGTCGAACTGGTACAAGCTTAGGAACTCTCTCTCTGTGTTCCTGTAGGATATGTGGGAATGAAAATTCTGAAAAAGGCCCTGTCTGGGCCTGATTTCTTGCATTTTTTGGAACGTTGAGCCGCAATTCTTGACTGACTTGGTGAGAGAGTGGGCCCCAACTTTTCTTAAGCAACGGTCAAAAAAATGCCAATTTGATAAATTTTAAGCTGGCACAGACAAGGGCATATATTGGCTATGATTTATGCTGCTTAACATTGAGTTGTTAGATATGGTCAGTTCATATCTGTGTTAGTTATTTGCATAGTAGGTCATAAATTAAAGAAAATAACTTTTGAAAGTGAGAAAACTGAGTTTTTGCGGTACTGTCTCTATTACCAAGTGATGCCCTTCCTTAGTTCTTATTATGTAATATTTGGGTTGGGGAGGGGGTTGTCTTTGACTTCCAACAATCATACCAAGGGATCAATTCCATCAAGTTGGCACTTCATATGGCTAATTTCTAGCAAGAACCCGGTAACTTGCCCAGTATTCCTTACAATCGGTTCTCTGTTCCTACCCTGAGAAATCGTGGAAAAGTTATTTTAACCTCATCAAGTATTAAAATCTGAGTGATAAGATTGTTACATTTCCAACCTTTCATGACTCACTACTTTTCTCTGCTACATCACTAGAAATATAAGCTAGTCGTACCATAATTCTAATACGACCTCAAATTGCTGTTGAAATCTGTAAACAAGAAACACAGTTGTTGGAGTTAAGGTGAAGCCTGCAAGTAGGGCAGGAAGAATGAGAGAGGAGCCATTTATCGATACAATCAAGATGGAACCGATGGTTGCATTCTGGGAGAATTCGAATTCTGTCACCATCAGAGAAGTCCATTAAACAAATTGCACAGCTTGAAACCGTCGATGGTGAACTTAAGCCTGCATAAACAGAAATCGGCAAGGTTACCATGTCTTTCTTTTTTAGGCCTGCGTTCACTATACGTGATGCTACCCAGCCAATTGGTTCTGTTAGTGCGCGCAGCGTGCATTGAAGGATACAGTGAAGCATGGAATTGAGGCCAAGAGCGCAAAGAAAAGCACATATGATAGCTGCTATGATTACTATAAGATTCAAGTCTACTGATGATTCTTGAGGCTTATGGCATGGTGTGTTGAAGCCGGGACTTTGTGTAGGGGGCAAGGATTCAGCCATGGAGGTTTGATTGAATTATAATGATTGATCAAAATGACAATTTATGAGAAGAATAAAGAAGAAGGAAATAGAGTGCAGGTGAAAGGAAATGAAAGCAGTGAAACGGGATTTCAATAAGAGAAAATGCTACATGTACTACCTGGTTTACAGAAATTACAGGTGGCAAGATCTCACACCATTTTTGACAAAAAAATACAGTTAATTCAACCGTTAAAATACTGCCATGTCTCATCTCATCTGTAAAGCTGCCTGTACAATTCATCTGTACAAACAACTTTATTGTTGCAATAATAAGGTGAGACAGTGTGGGGGCCCGGTCCGGAGTTCATGATATCTAGGTGATAATCCACCATGTCCCTCTTTTGTGTGCGCACTAAAATTCTGTGTGGCCTAGGAAGGAAAAACTTCTTATCATCTTTAAAGTGAACTTTTCATACTAACAAGTTGCCCAACATTAAAGTCTCTAATCACATCACAACCAAAATGAAAAAATTGCTAGTGTTGGAAATAGACTCATCAGAAATTTTTTACTGTCATAATTGATGGAATCAATTACATAACAAAATTTCTGTCCCCGGCCATATTGTGTTGATCAGCAAAAACCGAAACCACCCCATCAACTCCCTTTTCGCTCTCAATCACCACCACGTTATTCGAAACATTTGTGACTGCGTGAGTTGGAAATCCACCAACTATTCCTCCTCGACTGTATAATGCATACTGAACATGATTTATCTTGTTAGGAAACAGCAAGGTCGAAGAAAAATCAGCCGTCCACTTTGTCCCATTCCCTGCCACTGTCACTTTTCCCACCGTGGATTTCAAGATCATCCCATTCACATTGTTGTGATCAACCACAACTTGATCAATGCTAGTAAAATCCCCATCTAGTTTTATTATTGGAACCATATGTTTTGGATCCCCACAGAACATATTGTTAATGATATTTAAAGCTGAAACTCGACCCCTAATCGACTTCAGAACAACATTACCATCCCCAAGAAAAAACCCATTAGAAACATGAACCTGAGAAGGGTCCTCAATCACAACGCTGTTGTAATCTAAGTAAGAATCAGTTATCCTAGTCTGTGCTGCTTTTACTAATACTCCTACGCCACCAAAATACGTAGCTTTATTGTAACAATGTACCCCGGTGAGTATATTAGCTTGGCCTCTTAGTATAATTCCAGTTGCTGCTGAAAAAATGGCAACATCAGTGACGGCGTTGTCATTACTGGCAAGATCGATACCAGTGCCCGTGTAATCTCTCTCGCCTCTGTCTCCACCAATTGTCGGGTGTTGTCCGAGGAAGCTGCTTGATATGAAAGTTTCATGACCTCCCTTTACAAGAATTCCTTCTGTATTGAAGTGTATGAAAAAGCAATTGTTAATGCGTATTCTAGTTGAGTCGATAACAAAGAGTCCACCACCTCGATAGCTTGAATCGAAGAGGATGTCCCGGAATGTGATGTCCTCGTAGTACATTCCATCGTTCTGATCTTTTCGGGGAAAAAGATTATCGGGACGGTAGTCTGTTTTTGAAAATTTCGGAGAATCAGGCGACCATAATTCAATGAGATGCCTATCATCTGGAAATGAATCGGATGCCCTTAAAGTGCCTTCTTGTACCTAAAGGATGAACCAAATATCAAGAAATTGAGCAATGCTACACTGCCATGGAAAATTTCACAGAACTCATATGGGGGTAGTTGGCAGATTATCACCGGAAGATAGCCAAAAAAAAAATCATGCTACGAGTACAAAATTTTTGACAGAAAATTTTTACTGACAAAAAATGGAGAAATTATTCAAAATACCCCA